GTCACCTACAAAGGAGTTCCCATCAGACTGTCAGCTTATTTCTCAAAAGAAACCTTATAGGCAAGAAGGGGCTGGAAAGAAGTATTCCAAGTCATGAAAACCAAAGACCTACAACCAAGATTGCTCTATCCAGCAAAGCTTTCATTTAGAATGGAAGGGCAGATAAAGTGCTTCTCAGATAAGATCAAATTCAAGGAGTTCATCATCACCAAGCCCTTATTATATGAAATGTTAAAGGGACTTACCTAAGAAAAAGAAGATAAAAAAAAGATGAACAGTGAAAGGACAGCAAACTCACAGTTATTAACAACCACACCTAAAACAAAAGCAAACTAAGAGGACAGCTAGATTAGGAGTGAACCATAGAAATGAAGATCACATGGAGGGTTAGCAACAGGGGAGTGGGAGAAGGAGAAGGGGGGAGAAGGTACAGAAAATAAGTAGCATAGACAGTAGATAGAAAATAGATGGGGGGCAAGAATAGTGTGGGAAACATAGAATCTAAAGAACTTGAAACACGTGGTCATAAACTAAAGGGGGGGAATGGTGGGGGAGGCGTGTGCAGGGTGGAGGGGAATGAAGGGGGGAATAGAACAACTGTAATGGCATAATCAATAAAATATATTTAAAAACAAATAAAACAAACTGCAGAATTTCTAAATAAGCCAGGAGCTTCTTTCAAAAGGCAAATTAATCCTGTTTATGCATAAGTTATTAGAATTAGAATTACTTGGTTGTGTTTCTTATTTACTTTAATTCAGTAGAGTACTTTAAGTAAATAATGATTTTCATTCCCTAATTTTATACATATTTTTTGTGAAAATTTCATCTGTGGCCATGTTATTCTTTCAATTTATAAAAATACTCTGAAAACACCCCACTGTTCACTGTAAAACTTGTCCTAAAATAGAAATGAGATTTCTATAAGATGCTAAATTATTCCCACTGCAGTTTTTAGAGCTAACTTTTCTTAAAGATTGGGGAGGGGGAGCTTGTGTAAAATTCAACGAACACTTATTTGACAATCTAGTGTTTTCAATATGCTACACAGCCTTTCCCACCCACTAGTTTCATGGGATTTTTAAAAAGGTGTTCTGGGTAGAAAGGGCTCTATGATCTAGTATGTTTGAGCAGCAGTGGGTTAATGCAACAGGTTTCTTTACTGAGGAATTTTGCAGAGCTTTTTCACGCTAATAAGTATCTCCATATTCGAGTTTTCTAGGCCACAATAAGCAGCATTCCCAAACTAAGTAATTCCAGAGATCCTTTCTTGAAGAATATTTTATAACCTGTGCTCCTCAGAAAGCACTATGGGAAAAGGTGCATTATAGACATGCCCTGACTTAATGAGTAATATTTTACAAAAGGATTCCCCACTTCAGAGTGAAAAAATCACCTCCCGTAATGAGTTTTAAATAGTTTTCAACTAATTTTTCATGAAGGAATTTAAAAACTTTCAGAAATGTATAAATTAATGAGTCAACCTAAATATTTTTCTAAAAATTAAAGGACCTGCACAAACTCAACTGTGACTACCCAGATTGCCAATGTCTTGCTCATGAATACAGGCCACTCTCCCCTTCACCACCAGCTTTGTTGGCCTGGACAGCTGCAACTGCTGTGGACAAGGGGTATGCCTGGCAGGCTGGAGGACCGAAGGGCACACCCTCTGGCCTATCGCTGCCCCGCCCCTCGTGGAGAGCTAGGCATGTTCTTTACTGCACACGTATTCCTGTTCTAAAAAGTCTTCCCTTTCCTTTATGCTTCTGCTCAAGTGTTTCAGAAAATTTCTTTTATTCTTTATTTCTTTATTCTGCTCCTGAAACCCTAAACTGAAGCTAAAAATTGTGTCTGAAAAGTACACAATTTCTACTGGTTAAGTACCTATTAAAGAAATGAAAAGCCATCCATTTCAGGTGAAAAATGCCAGATTAGACAGTGCCATCCAGAGGAGTTCCCTTTCCAGTACTCAACTAACTATCCTTTGAGAAACTCAAAGTCTCTTATTCTCACTTAAATTACTTTTCACTGCTTAAGAAATTAGTTGTTAGCACTGTTTTATGCTCTTTTCATTACATATGTACATCATATTCACTGTAAGTTTGTTACTGACTTTCCCAGGAACTTGAAGGAGCAGTGTCCACAGGAAAATGTTCTAACTCCCCTGCAGAGTTATTCTAATGAACCTGCAGAATGTAACACATTTACAAAGTCTGAGACCCCATGGATCAGCACATTTTTCTTCACTTTATCTTTCTTATCACATTTCATTTCTGGGCAGAAACAAATTACTTCTTCCTTCTCATGTTCATCTTGTCTCAAAAATCTCCCTGCTTCTCCATAGAAATTAGATGGGCCCAATGGAAAGTGTTCACTGAAGCATTATACATTATCTGAAACTATAAGCTGCAACAGTACTATCTTTTATTAGTTGCTATAATGTAATACCTAAGGTCAATATGAAAAGTGGCCAAATACTAAAAAGAAGACTTGGCATAGGAGACAAAAAGGGTAACTGACATTAGAAAGATTTCCTGGCAGAAATGCCCACATATTAGGTCCATCAGTCAAAACACTTGGCTGATGACTGCCACATCTCAATTAGTTTCTCAATGACATGGGGAAAACTGATTTGGCTCAGTGTCTTTTACCCTGTCATATGGGAAGAAACTTCATCAACAAAAAGAAATGATAACAACAATCATTCACTTCCAAGTATTTAAAGCCCACCAGTATTTGGGGGCCAACTGCCTTGCTGCAGTGTAAGAACAGTAGTGGACTCACTGTCACCCAGACAATGGAACGGCAACCCCCACCACCAAGAGAAGGGAGAACAAAGAAGAGAACAAACACATAAAGCAGTTTCAATTTTTACCATTTTACTTTATGTCCAATGTTTGACTTCACTACAAAACCACTTTTGTAAGCCCAACAGTGAGTATTGAGTCTCATACTATTTCAAAGTAACAAACTGAATCCAGGATGATGTTGGTTTACATGACCTAGAAAATGAGACTGGTATGACTGACTATAGTTATAACTGATAACAAGTACAAATATGAGGCTAAAGTCTTTGGCATATATTTAGGAAAACATTTATCCTTTCCCCCATACATACATTTTTGAAAATATAAGGTTTTATTAATTATCTGAATTAAAATATCCAAATGAACCCCAAATATCTGTAATTCCTATGTGTAAAACTGTTCTGATGAGCAAAAAAACAAATGCTAAATAAACTCCGTATAGTCTGGGGAGTTAAAACACCCAGCAAAACAAACTGACCTAAATTTCAGCTAAAACATAAAGGCCCAAAGAACACTCCCATATGTAACAGAAACTATATTACTCAAAAAGAAAGAGTATTTATTAATCAGATACAGTTTGGTTTATCAGTCAGAGTATGCTAGTATTTTATCCACTGAGAAACCAACCATTTTCTTGAGCAATACCTTTTAAAAGATAGAAACAAACTAAAAACAAAATCAGGCCTCTCCTGCAATGTGTAGTTTCTTCATTATGATGCAATGCAACAAAACATCCTGCCCTTGGGTTGCTCAGTTTCAGCCAAAACAAATGCAAATGGCCTGTCAGATGACAGCTGTTTGATAAGGCTCCTCCACAAGACCTGCATGCTTTCCTTTTTCCGTGAAACTTGGGATGAAAAGCAGAAGGCAGGAAGGGAATTAATGTAGCATACAGTCTAAAGGCAATGCTACAACCGTGATTAAGTAGAAAAGTTAACAGGCACAGATTTTCCATGGCTTTGCTGCGTGCAACCCATCCGTGTAACAAGTTGACAGGCCTAGTGCGTCAGCTCCATCATCCCTTCCGACAGCTAAAACGCAGCACTGCATCCCTTTTCAGAGAAAATTTGCGTCTGCACCATGAAGCGTTGTACATTATTTCTTAGCACTGCAGGGGGCTTAGGTCCATATGGAACCTTCACAAATATTACCACAGATCAAACCGGCAGCTTCTGCAGGCAGATTTGACATACCTATTTAAATGAACAGCAGGGGTCCTTGGGCAGCCTCGGGCTGTGCAGAGACAACCTCAGTGGAAAGCTTGAGCTGCAGCTCCATTACTCAGCAAAGACGCACTCTACATTTATCATTCATTTCATTTCTGCCAGGGCAAGAAGCTCATTTGCCCAAGGTCAACAAAAACCGAAAAAAGGGCTCTCTGTTTCCCCCCGCCGCCAAGAAATAGATGTACCTGACAAGTGGGGGTTTTGTCATTTCGGGTTTGTGGAGCTCCAACAAACATAAGACATTCTAAAAAGCAGAGGAAAGCGCACACGGGATTCGAGCAACCTGAAATCTGACTCTGGATGGGGAAACCCACTGAATACTTAAAAAATCATGCAATGAATAAAACTTGACACATTTTGAGAATAAAATGGTTCTGCTGTTTAAAACTGGATATTAGCATCCAGGTTTTTCACCCTTGTCACAATAGGGAACGCCCATATCTGCACACTGTCAAACATTCAAGAGTTCTGAAAACAAAAACTTCCCAGCACTCCCAAAGGCAGTTGGAAGTAGGTCTTTTTTCTAGGCTTTCTAGACTCATACATTGCATTAGCCTACAAAACGCAGCAACTGTATCTGCATAACAAGTACAGTTAACTATCTGACTCCCTCCCAAGGTGCCTTAGAGACCCTGAGAGGATATGTACCTGCCCCTACCTGCTTCATGTTTTACCTGGATTGCACATACATGCACTACAACTGAGTATCTATCTGCTAACACGATCTCAATTTGTAAGAAAAAGCACCTTAAGGACAAACCATTCTGTTATAAATCCTGTGTTTACCTTTAGAAATATGGATTAATAAAATACAAAGCCTTTCAACATATTGTCTCACCTCCAGAAGTCCTATTTTTGTTCCTTATGAAACATACTAGGTCAATTGTGAAGTTTAGAAAAATCTCTGGTAAAATCAGTTATTTACCTTACAGCTCATGTTATTTATCATAAAATATAATATACTTACATGCATTAATGAATAATATGACTGTTTGCCAGTATAAAAGAGAAAATGAAATGGACGACCATCTTCTCCCCACTGGGTTGCTAATAAAAAGCCAGATAAAAACAAATAAACAAAAATAAAATATACAGAGAGAGACCAAACAGATGTATTTAACTACAGTCATGAGACATGTTTATAATTCTGATTGACTTTTAAAACAACAAAAAGCATAATATTTAGAATTTTAATATTTAGTTTAGCATGTAACTATTTAGGGTATTTAACAGTCACTGACATAAAACAATGTTTGTATTTGAGAAAATATTCCTAAATATCTTACCATGAGAATTTCTATAACTTGTTTTAAATAAACGGCCATAAAACAGACAAAATCAACTTGTTAGGACAAAAAATATTAGGTTTGGCCATAAATATAATGCACTCCTATATTCTTAAAAACAAAAACTGATAAAGTCAATAATGTAGTTCATTCAGAAAATGAGAAACAGGCGTAATATAATAAAGAAAAACACGAGATGGATTTTCCCATGACACATTATTTGTTTCAACTCTGTGAGGACATATTTCAGAGTTTAGAAACATCTAAAACAAAAGGGGCCCCCAAAAGTGTTACATGTAATTCCTTGTGAAATACAGATGATCATTCACATCTAATAAACACCAAACAAACTGAGAAATGGAATCTCTAGTAAGTAAACCAAACCACTAACTCCATGCCCTTTGCTGGTATTTCTGAGTTGTTTCTCTGTTAACAATCTGTAGGAACTCTAACATGTTAAAAGATTACACTCCTTTGTCTATTACATAAATTGTAAACACTTTTCTCCCAATCTTTCACTTGCTTTTTAAATTTTGTTTATGGTGTCTTTCATAATCAAGAATTTAACATATATGTTTTTGTAGAATCTGTCACTTTTCCTCCATGGCAGTGTTTCTCAACTGTTTTCTTTCTTTCATTATCTACATTACTAAGGAGCCTTTTTAGACATTTTGTTTTTCCTAATATCCTCCTTCCCATGAGATTTTAATACCAGACATACTGCATATGGGTTGAGAGCTGAAACACTGTAACTGTTGAGATTTTTTCTTTTCTTCTAAATCAATTTATGCCCCCTTGGGCCCAACATCACTGCACTGAGAAAGCATGCTTTAAGACTGGATGCTTCCTAAAAATTATTTTCCTACATTTTCTACTGAAATTTTTGTTTTCATGTTCAGAAATTTAATATAGCTGGAATTTATATTTGTGAGGCAGAAATCCCAGTGTTTTCTCCAGCAGAGTGAGTCGTTACTCATTCGTTTTTTAAGTACTACACTCTTTCTGTTGAAATACCACCTACACAATACGCAGGTAATCTTTTCCTTCTGAGGATAATTGGCATCAGCCATGGGCCACTTTAAGTGAATATACTTAAAAACAAAAAAAGACCAAAATTTCATAGTAAATGGTAAAAAAAACACAAAAAGTGCGCTGGGATGGGAGAAATAGAAAAATGTAATTGAAAAATAATTAGATAAAAAAAACCCAAGAAAAACAAACGAACAAAAAACCTGATAGGAAGTTTAGCTTGAAAAAAATAAAGCAAGATTCTTATTTGCCAATGGCTTATGGATGAATTAAATACTTCTCCAACATCATTTTCCTAGACTTCATGAAACCCTACATATTTTCTGATATTTACAAGTTTACTATGCAATCAATTTTCACTGTATTATTAAAGCAGTCAGTCAGAAAGTAACCAAGAAAGACAAACATCATGGTTCCAGATGAGAGTTTACTAAAAAGCTTAGAGGAATTTCTGAATTTGGTCTCATTTCATGTGATTGTGTGCTTGTGTATACTTGATTTCTGAAGTATGTATGTATATGCATATATACACACATGCACATACATATGTATGTATGTGTATATATATACACATATATATACACATATGTATATATATATACACACATTCTTGACTTCACTCAATCTAGATGTCAGACTTTAAGATGCCCCATCATGCATCTTTTGCAAAGAAAAAAAGCTGACAGCATGCTTCATAGTTGGCATTAACTGTATAATGAAACCTATTGTTAAAAATGTTAAAATTTGAAAAACTATGTCGTAGAACCTACAAAATATGACATAAACAAATATTGACACTGAATACTCTAATTTGATCTCTTCTGCACCACTACTGCTATTTAATTAAAATGAGCTTTATGCTGCATTTTGATATTTAATAGGCTAAGTAAGCTTCCTTCATTATTCTTATTTCTTTAAAAAAATTCTTTCAAATAAACTTGACAAATTTCTCCCAAAAGTCCTACCAAGACTTTTACTGAAATTATATTAAAGTAGTTTTCAATCTTTCCTCATACAAACATGAAATCACTTTCCAGCTATTTAGATTTTTACTTATGATAAGTTTTATAATTTTCTACAAAAATTTCTTACATACTTTGGTAAGTTTTATATGTACTTTAGCTTTTGTTTCTCTTGATACTACCTCCTCGGTCATCTATGTTTTCTATAACATTAATTACACTAGTAATAGATTCTTTTACTATTTCTTAAACAGACTTTCTTTTTTAGAGTAATTTAAGGTTCACAGTAAAATTGAGAGGAAGATACACAGATTTACCATACACCTCCTGCTCCCTCACATGCAGAGCCTCCCCCATTATCAACACCCTCCACCGAAGTAATACATTTGTTACAACTGATGAGCCTACAGTGACATATCATGATTATCCAAAACTCGTGGTTTACATATGGTTCACTCTTGGTGTTGTACATTCTTGGGTTTGGACAAATGTATAGACATGTATCCACCATTACAGAGTATCAGAGAGTAGTTTCACTGCCCTAAAAATCCTCTGTGCTCCACCTATTCATCCCTCCCTCCCCACCTAACTCCTGGTGACCAGTGACTTTTTACTGTCAGCACAGTTTTGTCTTTTTCAGAAAGTCGTATGGTTGGAATCATATATGTAACCTTTTCAGATTAGATTTTTTCATTTAGTAACATGCATTCAAGTTTCCTCCATGTCTTTTTGTGGCTTGATAGCTCATTAGTGAACAATCTTCCATTATCTAGATATACCAGTTTAATTTTCCACACACCAACTAAAGGACATCTTCCAAGTTTTGACAATTATGAGTAAAGCTGCTATAAACATCTGTGTGCAAGTTTCTGTGTAGATACTAAGTTTTCAACTCCTCTGGGTAAATGCCAAGGAGCACAACTGCTGGATTATATGGTAAAAATATGTTTAGTTTTATGAAACTGCCAAACTGTCTTCTAAAGCGGCTGCACCATTTTGCATTTCCACCAGAATGTATTCCTGTTGTTACATAACCTTGCAAGAATTGGTGTTGTCAGTGTTCTGAATTTTGGCCACTCTAACAGGTATCTCACGGTTGCTTTAATTTGGATTTCCCTGATGTGGAACATCTTTCCATATGTATATAAGCTCTCTAATGAGGTGTTTGTTAAGGTCTTTGGCCCATTTTTAAATCGGGTTGTTTTCTATTGTTGAATTTTAAGAGTCCTTTATATATTTCAGATAATGGTCCTTTATCAGATGGTTCTTTTCCAAATATTTTCTACCACTCTGTGGCTTGTTTTTTTCATTCTCTTGACAGTGTCTTTTGCAGAACAGAAATGTTTAATTCTCTCCAGCAGATTTGTACCAAACTCTTCCCCACAAAGGCATATTCGAATGCAAATAAATTAGTGTGATATTAGTGAAAGCATAAACTCTACCCTTATTAATTTTAGTATTTTTTAATTAAAAAGAAATTAGTCATAAATTCCATTATTGGTTATAAAAACTTTTACCTACTATACGACCACCATGGTATGGGAGTTCATCTGTATAATATGTAAGTAACTGCTAGTATGTAACACTATAACAAAAAAAAAATAGTTTATTTCATTCTTGAGCAAACTTACCTTTTTGTTTTGGAAAAATCTGTTCAGGATGCTGTAAAATAAATTAAAAGTGCATGAGATACTTACTGTAACATATAAAACTAAGTGAAATTTAAAAAAATATTACTTAAGATAATTACCTTCATTATTGGCCTGGCTCGCTTCTCAAATAAACCACTGGGAAAAAGATAAGCAATAGCTCTCTGAAAATACACATAAAGGTTAATTAACAATTCTTATAAAAACCAGTTAATGTTCTGATTAACAGTTATTGAGTGCTTACTATGTGCCAGGCATCACACTAACAGTTTCATATACATTATTTCACTTCAAAATTTTCTAAATAAAAAAATAACTTACCACATACACATACCCCCCGAGGCCACTGTTAGTACCCAACCCTACATGTGTCATGTTTTTCCTTATACATATGTACCAGTGGTGAAGTTTACAGCTTCTGTTTGGCATACCTGAACTGCTAGAATCACACTACTCTTGTGTGAGGGGCCATTACCAACTAAAATAAAGTTACTTGAATACAAGCACTGTGATACCTCAACAACGGATCTGATACTAAGTGACTAATGAGCAGGAGCGAATATAGCATGGAGAAAGGGATGATGCATATTCTGGATGAGATGGAGAAGGAGAGCAATTTCTAGAATTTTCCATTTAATATTTTTGGACTGAGACAGTCTGCAGGTAATGGAAACTGTGAAAAGCAAAACTGGTAAGGGGGAACTACTGTATTAAATTACTATAGTTACAACAATTTTCAAGTGTCCCTTGAAACGTGAAAGTGATACCACACACAATCAATCTCATTTTCTTTTTTTAAAGGAACACTAGAGCTGCTCCTATACAACTTCTGTGGTATGTATTCAAGAGCAATCAATCATTCTAACTCCCATCTGGTAGTACAAATATTAAAGACAGAATAGCAAACAGAGCAGCTCTAAATCTTATCCACAGTGACGTCCACTGATTTTTTGGCTACTCTGAAATTTTCCTCAAGTTGTGAGAGGTTTTTAAACTAGTTTCCCAAACAGTTCTCATAAGTGTCTATTTCTCAGTGGGGACACTATTGGCACTCTGAGTGTGACAGCTCCATTGTAGGAAACTTTCCCCTATATTGCAGGTCATTAAACATCCCTGGCTCTTTTCTACAATACAAATCTGTGCCAGTGATATCCTGTGCTTGTGACAAACCTCTCTCTCTCTCTCTCTCTCTCTCTCTCTCTCTCTCTCTCTCACACACACACACACACACACACACACACACACACGTGCATGGGCACACTTCCAAATGTCCTTCCTTCACTTAAGGCTCAGCACTGCTGCAAACCTCAGCCCTGCTTTAGCCATCTGTCTTTTCCAGTGGCCCTTCTCACAATTAAAAGCAAAAAACCAAAACAACACCCACCCATCCAAACTAACTAAATGCTCACTTTTGTTGAACGATGTCAGATGAAAAGGCTTCGCATTCTATCTGAACTCTAATGAACTGGCATCTCAGGTGAACACTGCTGCTCTTCTGGAGAGCCTGTTCTCAGCATGCTCTCTCCTTCACACAGTACGTGTGCTAGACCCAGGTCTGCTCCTTAAAGTTGGAGGCAGGGCTACAAATTCAATGATATGGAGCCCAATTGTGTCTCTGGGTCAAGCACTGGCCAATAAAACTGAAATTAAAAAACTTAAATATCAGAGTGTTAATATTGTGAACTTTTTGTTTCAAAAACCAGGGACAGCTCTCCCTTCTAATCTGGAGAAAAGGTGGACTTTTTAATAAGTGATGTGAGTTAACTACCATGGCAAAATGACAAAACTGGACCTAAACCTTATACCATACACGAGAATAAACTCTACGTGAGTCAGAGGACTAAACATAGAAAAGGGAAACAAAATAAAACAAGTACTAGAAGACAACATAGTGAATTCCTTTATAATGTAGATATGCAAAGTCTTTCTTAACCATGACTTAAAATTCAGAAGCAAAAAATAGTTGAGTGGCTCAGTGGATTGAGCGTGGGCCTGTGAACCAAAGCGTAGCCAGTTCGATTCTCAGTCAGGCACATGCCTGGGTTGTAGGCCACGTCCCTAGTAAGGTGCATGTGAGAGGCAACCACACATCAATGTTTCTCTCCCACTCCTTCTCCCTCCCTTTCCCCCTGTCTATACATACATACATACATACACATGTACATATATAAATAAAACATTTTTTAAAAAGTCAACCAATTAAGCTACATTAAAATGAAAAAATATGGCTCAAATACATATATAATAAGAAAAGTACAAATGAAAACCATTGAGATACCACTATTCATCCAACAGAACTAGCAAAAATTCAAAAGCTTGACAGCACACTGTTGGAGCTGCTACGAGACAACGGTAGTGCCACGCTGGTGGGCGTGTCGAATGGCACCACCGTAGGGTTGGAAGTTTGACACTATCTATCAAAACTACATTTTCCCCCAGCAATCCCACTTCTGTGAGTTTATTCTGAAGACACACCCCCTCAGAAACACAAAACAACACAAGCACAGGTTATTTATAGATTCATAAGAGCAAAATATTAGAATCAACCAAATCCCCATACACAAGAGTTTGGTTGAATAAACCCCATATACTTATGTGATCCAGTATTTTATACCCATAAAAAGATCTGAGAAGGGCAAGATACAAAAGAAATTTACTTAGAATGAGAACCACTGGTATGAGAGAGAATAAAATAGAAAATGATAAAAATCATTGCCGATTAAGGGTGGGTGGGAGCAGGGTGAAAGCCCAGGGATGACAGTGTACTTTTTCGTATGCTTGAACTTTGAAGCAGGTCAATGTCTTAGATATTAAAGACTAAAATTTTCAAAAGAAAACTCTAAAACTTAATACAAAGAGAAACAAATAAACCTAATTTCTAAATTTTATTTAGTTATTTTTCAAGTACAGTTTTTTGTCTATCATGCCCTTGCCCCCACCTCCCTCCCATTTCCTCCCCCCCCTTAGTATAAACCTAATTTCTAACAACAAAAATAACTGCAAATAAATCTTCAGCTTTCCTTGGTGGGCCCACTGTTAGTAATAATATTAATATTATAATTCTGAAACATTCTGTTTATATTGAAGCATAAAGAAAAAAAGTAAATATATAAATTTTATAATTACCAAAATTTTATTGTAGAAGATACACAAATATAATGTGAAGTAAAGGTAAGTTTGAATTAGACAAATCAGTATAAATGCATGATCCTCAAACATTATTTCTTTTATCATTTCTGTAATACTTTTAAAATATTGTTTTTTAACTTCTGTCCCCTGAATGAGCACAGTAGCAATGGAATTCCAAGAGCAAAGGGTGATCCAACCATCTAAATCTTGGTTTCTAATAGTTTCCTCTTATAAGGAACAGAGTACCTTGGAGAAATGACTGGTTCTAGAACTAAGGCAGAGAAAGTAAGAGCCTGAGACATGGCATGTATCTTCTTCCTAAGCCAGAAAACAAGCTCGTCCTCAAAAGGTCACAGAGGTTGACTTCAAGGGTCTCCCAATGGCCAAAGTTGGGATAATTTGAAAATGACAGTGCCTTATGGCATTAATATGTGAGTATGTGTATGTTCAACAGTGTTGACAGATACCCTCTGAAGGGTGTGGGGGGAGGGGGAGGAAGGAAAGGAAAGCCTCTTTATAAAATAATACCATTAATAAAAGTAGAAGGAATGATGGAAATAGCAAATCATTGTTTTACAACTTCCAAGGCAATCATTACTTTCTGGCAAGAATCATCAATGAATGCTAAAGTCATTTGATGAAAAGTTAATGGGGAATAAAATATTCACATGAACTCAAAATATCCTACAGATTACTAGTTACAGAAGGAAAAAGCTCCTTTCATAATAAAGAGGTCACCATCTTCACCAAGGGATAGGGCATATTGTACAGTCCATACTGGGACAAACTAACTGTTCTTACTGGTGTGAGGCAATGAGAAGGCTACAATATCATGTAAGGAGTATCATTTACACATTCTAAATCTGATCATGAGGAAGCAATTAGAATGCAAGAATGCCGGACAACTGCACAAAACACATAGTCTGAATTCTACAAAAGCCCAAGCTAGCTATAAAGACATTTTGGGGAAAACTGTGAAAATCTACATATAGACTATATATGACATTATAGAATTATAAATGCATTAGATGTGACAGTGGTACTGTAGGAGACAATAATATAAAGGGTTTTTATGCATTTAGTGTTTAAATAAATGCTGATGTATTTAGGAGTTAAGTGTTACGATATCCACATTCTGAATGATATCTTACAAAACTTTACTCACAAAACTTTATTATATTCATACAATTTTACATTACATATCCATGGTAGGTAACCATTATATTCATGTATAATGTGCACCCTTATTTTTCCCTCAAAAATTCAGGGAAAAGTGAACATCATACATGGTGAAATATGTTAAGTTCAACTCTTCAACTTGGAGTGAGATCACCATAATTACCAGGAGGAAAATCCAAACCACTTTTAAATCAGTGTCAAACCATCAGTGGCATCTCTTTCAAATATGAAAATGACTCCTACCTTAAGTGTCCACCCGACAGTATCCTAGAAGGAAATAAAAATGTGAAGAATTCTATCCCATGGTTAAATTTCTAATGAAAATGAAGACTTAGGAAAGTCACTAAGAAGTTAACTGGTAGAACCTGAAAATAAGCCATAAATTCCAAAAGACAGAATTACAGGCAAAGTGTGTCCCCCCTCCCAAATGAAAACAATTAAACAAGGGTTTTGCTAGAAGTACTCTGAGATTCCACTGAAAGGATCAAGAAGTGTGGCTTTGCCTTAAAAAAAAAAACCCTCAGCTAAAAGTATATTTACACATATTTACTAATTTATTTCTTCACTATATTAGGTTGTAATAACCATACAGCAACTCACCTATTTTATTTTACACCACACTAATCAGTAATTAGTAATGGGGTACCTAAAATCTACTACGGTATACTGTACCAACTACATTATATTACATTTGTACCTAACTGTATTAGGTTCTGTACCAAGTACTATGGAGAAGATCCACAGAGCAAAAGATACCATGTCAGATAAAAAGCAAAATCACAAGCTCAGTAAAAACAAAAGATCTAAGAAAAAGAAACAAGAGACGGAACAGTAAACAATATAAACCAGTTCTTTT